AAGTCCAATGTGCCTGTTTTTTTCTTTTGTTGCCTGTGCTTTGGTATTATATTTCAAGAAATCATGGCCAACTCCAATACCATTTAGATTTTGTTTCCTTCCAAGTGTCTTAGTGTTTTAGTTCTTAACTTTAGGTCTTTGATCCATTCTCAGTGAATTTTTGTATTTGGTGCAATTACCCTTTTCTTATTTTCTGTTCATAGTCTTTGTCTATTGTTCCATTGGATTGTCTTTCTCATAATGCTTTGTATCTTTTTATGTATCTTCAACATATCTTGTTACCTATGTTTCAAGTATTTTCTCCTGTCTGATAGTTATCTTTCAACCTTAGTTTATTGTTATTAACTTTCCATAAAGAAGTTTTAAATGTGTTATTTGTGGTCAAATTTATTAATTTTTAAAAAGACAAATCCATTTGGGTCTTGATGAATATTTTCCTTACCCTCAAATTACAAACAATATTTCCTAATACTCTTTTGATCAGTTATTTCTTCATTAAGTTGACTAAACCTAGTTAAACTTAATGACTAAGACTAAATTCCTACACCAATGTATTCGATTATTCAATAAACATTTGAATAACTATGGCCAATCTTTATAACTTTTCATGAGTAGTAACCCTGAAAATTATTTTAAAGCAAATCAACTGAGTGCTACCACTGCCAGTTAATGACCATCTACATCAGCTATAAGAGCCTAGCTTTAATATATACTGAAGTTTTTGACTTCATTCAATTGTCATTTAGTCTACAGATAGCATAAAAACAGAAGGGAATTTTACTTCAAGTGACTGACTCACACCTCATATTAACATGACTAGTCTGTCCTGCCCATTACATATGGCACCAGCATGTGAGTATGTGATTATTTACATACGTTCATACTGAGAGCTAGCTTGAGGTTACTGAATAGGTCTAATCCTATGGCTACTTTGTTTTGTTTTCACATTTATCTCTGCTAGTAAATCGTAATTCTAAATCACTAAATAAGGAACTTATTGAATAAGGTTATTAAACTCTCCTGACAACTTGGTCATAGCAAACAGTAAGGACCCACGTTTCCTCTTTTGTCATTTCACAAATCTGGAAGGGATGGCAGAGTTAGAGCAGGTTTAAAATGGCCACTGGGGAGCCAACTGATAAAACTCAGTTTTACATTTTTTTTTTGGTGTATCAGAGTTTCTCTTTTTATGGTTGTCCAATAAAGTGATCATATATAGATGTTCAAATGTTCCCCTAACAAACAAATATAGACCTAAATGGGGTCACCTCACTCCCTTGTTTCACTCTACCTAACATCAAGACTGTTCTCTGCAAAAGTAAAGAGCTCTGCAGCTTTCTCTACCCTTCTGACCACTCACACAGGCACAAACCTTGAGTTCACCTTAGGTTCTTTCTCTCAAATGACACATTGGCATCAAACAGATATAAATCCATTGCTGGTATGCTTTAATCGGATGCACAACACATATACAAACTTCTTTTTCTTCAAATACTTTTTTAAACCATGACCAGTGCAAGTGCTCCCAACTCTCAACACCTGTTCTTATAGCATCCATCTACAACAAATATTTACACATACAACATGGATGCCTATACAACATCCATTCCACACGTTGTATAGGCATCCATCCAACATTTACACACTGTTGTATAGGCATTTACAACAAACATTTACACACTGCCTATTATTTGTCAACCACTAGGAATAGAGCAGTGGTTAAGAAAGACAAAGACTCTGCTCTTGTACACAGCATCCACCACTGACAACTTTAGACAGAGCTCAGCTATACTATTAGTGCTTAACACCAACAGGCCAACCTGATTTGAACCATCAGTGCTTAATATAAATTATTTAATTGTTAAGAAAAACCTAAACAAGTAAAATCACTAAGTTGATGAGAAGAGTCAATAGAAAGCTTAATTTAAATAACATGGATGTCCCCGTTGAGGGAAAAAAAAAAAAAAGTATGTCAAATAGACACTTCAGAAACACGAAGAACAATCTAAATGAACAATCTAAACAGACTAAATGGAAAACAATCTGTAAAGATTACAGTTGCTATAAAACTTATCTAAGGATGTAACAGTCTTCAATTAACATACAAGGAGAAGTACTTGAAAAGGCTGCACAATTTCCCCTATATAAACAGACAATTCCATGGTAGGTAATCGAGTTTCTTCCTACAAGTTTAAGAATACTACATATAAATTAGGCACATAATGCTTGTGATTAGCAAACACACTTCGTGAAATTTAAACTTGAATCTACTCTGTCAGAAATTTTACATTACGAGCATCCGAACTGACACAGATGTGCTGTATGTTAGTCTTTCATTATATTTGGTTTTGAGGAAAGAACAGGGTTGTGGAGAAGCTGCCTCTAACACAACAAGTTTGAACTGGGGTAATGTTTAGGCTCTTCATTTCTAAGACAGAGACATTACCACCTTCCCTCACAGTGTTGTTTTAAGGAATAAACTAAAATGAACATAAGACAGTTAGCATCAAACTGCATAGGGAAGGGTTAGAAGATGAATGAAGTATGAAATACAGTAAAACATAATGTTGAGCCCTAAAGGGGATATAATCTAATTGAAAAAACTGAAATTACAATGTTTAAGTTTTGTAACAATAGAGTACTGGATTCAACAGGACAGCAATCAAAGAAAGAACATGTTCTATTTAGCAAAAGCTCAGGACAGGAAAGATAATGGCAAGTCCTAAGAAATGTCCAAGTTTGCAACAGATGAATTAGAGAATTAAGAGTGAAATGGGTGGAGATCAAGCTAGCAAAACAGACTGCAACCATCCTGTCAAGTGCTTGCTATGATCTTACTAAGTATGGACTTTATCATTTGGATGTTTAAAAAACCACTAGAAGTTTCTAAGCAAGGAGCTGACACAATTCAATTTAAATTGGATAATGATGCCATTGTTAAGTGGATAGACTGGGTAAGAAGATAATCAGAAGATTATTTCAAGAGAACCTGGCCAGGCACTGTGGCTTGCACCTGTAATCCCAGCATGTTGGGAGGCCAAGGCCAGAGGACTGCTTGAGGCCAAAAGTTTGAGACTAGTCTAAGCAACACAGTGATTTTTACAAATTAACAAACAGAGAGAGATGATCTGAATTTCAGTAAGCGAAATCTCCACGAAAGATTTTTACAATTAAAAGAGAGAATCTGAACTTCAATGAGTGCTAAGAGAGAGAGAGCCCAAGATTTGTCAATGGGTGGGTGGGTGAGAATGTTTAAGAGTAAGGCAAAGTTAGGGAGAACAGTGTTGTCAATTACTGCAAATCTAAGAATAAATTGTGGGAAAGGGAGAAATTAGGGACACATTGTATTTGAGGATATGTAACAAATACTGAGAGTTTACACGTAGACATATAAGTCTGAACTAGAACTAAAGATTTGGTAGTCATAACAGTAACAAAATGACTACCAAGGAATATGGTGAACAAGAAAAAGAACCAAACAGAGAAAAAAAGGCTGAGATGCTGATATGTAAGAAGCAGGAAGGAACAGAAATAGGCAACTGAAGGAGGGTAGTATCACAGAAGCCAGAGGAAGAATTTCAAAAAGGAGTTTAAAAGTGTTAAATGTACAAAGGTGACATGGGATAAATACTTTCAAAGGGCCATCAGAATTCTAACTGACAAGAATTTTTAAAATAAAGTTTTCTGTAAGCAAACTATCAAAATTATAGGAACTTAAAAAACCAAAATGTCCTCTGGAAAATATAATAACTATAGCATTAATTCAGATTTCATCTCTCAGTATTTCTCTTTGCAAATTTAATTCTGTCACAGGGTAAATCCGACATGTTATTTATAAATGTTGGTACAAACCATCTTGACCGAATTTGACATCTGGAACAAGCATTAATCTGACACATTATGTACTGTATGATATATAAAGTATATGGCTGAATAACAAGGAAAATTCAAATAACATGCATAGTACATACGCATGTATTACAAACATATAACATGTAATATACGAAAATTTCAAACAACATGTATTGATAGTTTAGTTTCTGCTCAACTATAAATATTAATCTATATTAATCTACATTTTAAGGGGGCTACAAGTTCTTTTTTAGGATTCTTTAAAATCACACTGTAGTTCAAGGAGAGGGGAAATCAGAAACAAAAGAAATTCAACTATTTGAGCCCTTTGCCAACAAATTAAATCAATGTGAATTAACGTATCAAGCCTCTCCTAAACCCACAGGACATTTAAAAGTGCGTCAACACTTACTAATGGTCTGCTAATGGATTTACCTGTGACAATTTATTTACTGCGTTTTAATTTCCTTAGACTCTTAAAACATACTATGAAGTACAAGTTTCAGACTGTGAATGGTCTATGCAAATTTCATCACACTGCTTATGTTGTGTCACACCTTCCAAGTAGCTGTTCTTAAAATTTTTCTGTAACTTTTTAAACATGCTGTGATTATTGACACTGAGTTGGATAAACACAATTTGGGTTGCAATGTTTAACTTCCACTCCTCAGACTTAAGGTCCAATTCAGACATTAACACTCCTTATCTTATGGCCCACAACTTAATTTTCTAATCGCAAATTGAAACCAATAATGAAATGTTATACAGAATTAGTTTTAAAATATCTCTATTCATATTAAGTATTGAGAAAACTGAGACGATTTATAAACTGTCAAGACAATGATCACAAAAACAGAAAATTGAAGAGACAGTTATTTCACTTTAAAAAATTACTTAAACCATTATTGTTACACATTAAGCACCTGACTTAATCCAGAGGCAAGAAACAGTTCTGAGGCTGGATAATTATAAATTAAAGAAAAAAGCTAAATATTGCTAACTCTATACCTAACTCTACACAGAAACATTCTAAAAGACTTTTTAAAAAATTTATAATTCGGAGACTTATAAGCCAAAGGAAATAATGTAATATATAAGAAACTTAGAAACTATAGTTCAACGTGCAGCATCTAGTAATAATGGCATACCTTTTCTTTCTGTTTTCTGTGCAGGGACAGAAGATGTGGGTGTAGGCAGTTTTGATAAAGTAGATGCTCCATTAGCATCAAATGATTTCTTTGGCTGGTGATCAGACTGTAGCGTAAATGGACTAGAAGGAACAGTGCTTGGGGTAGCAGTTGGATGAACCACTGGTTTGATGGGGTGCTGTACTGGCGTAGAACTACTGTGAGTCTCTGCTCTTGGCAGTCTGTAGTCTCTGTCATTGTGTCTGCTTGTTTGAGACAAAATATTCTGTGGGAGCAAACTACTGGCATCACTGGAATGCTTGTCTTCCACTTTAGTTCACAGTTCGAAAAAACAGATGTTGGAATGACAGAAGGGGGAAGAAAAAAGATTACATTAGAATCCTACCTTTAACATCAGCTAATTCAGCAACATACTTGTACTTACATATCCTTTTATAAAACTGCAAACCCAGTTAGTGTCTGCAGTTTACCACTGGCATGTAAATATGCAATACTGGAAGAAGAGGAGTTTTTGCTCAACTATAAATATTCATCTATACTCATATTTCAAGGGGGCTACACATTTTTTAAGGATTCCTTAGAATCACACTGTAGTTCAAACAAAACATACCAAAAAAAACAACAACAACAACAAAAATCAACATATGGAGTTATAATACCGTCTCATAAAAATTTTTAAATTGTTTTAAAAGCAGAAAAAATAAATGCTTCATTGTTTTACACTATGGGTCATAGATTTTAATAACTGAATTATTCACAGTGGTTCGACTGCAAAGGAATATTAGGCTTTATTAGCCTGGTCTTTCTAAATACTACATTAGCTAATTAGTTGCCTCTAAAGCAGTTTATACGAAGGCTTAAATGAAATCATTTTAAGATGACTGAAGTTATGATGAACTGTGAATACAGTAAGTAAACCAATCTGTAGTATTTTTAGTAATGTTACAAATAACCAGAGAGTTAGTAATAAAATCATGATGCATAATGCTATTTGAAAATGGAAGTCCAACACCCGCAGCACAGTCAGAACAATCTACTTATCGCTAGGTGTATTAAAAACAAATCCTCTTTCAATTTAAAGCCACAAAAATACTTTAAGCTCAGAAATACTGAAAACAGTTTAAAATCTATCAACAATTTAAATAGCCACAAAAATACTTTAGCTCAGAAATACTGAAAACAGTTTAAAATCTATCAACAATTTAAATTCTAACACCATGATTCCTCAAAACAGTATAAAAGAAGGAAAATTTCAACGATCATGTTAAAGTTCATTCGAAGTGTTCAATCTAAATTACAATATTCCCAACAATAACTAAAGAACTAAAATAACCTCCTAGGAGAGAAATAACCTCCAAGGAGAGAAATGACCTAAAATCCAAGCATGTGATGTACAATAATTTTACTAAAGTATGCCCTCTCTGTTGATTATTGCATTGTTTTTTCCAATTCACAGCTCCTCCAATTATAAAGACCAAGACAAAACAACGAAGGAGGAACATTCAAACTAGAAGTCAGTTTCAAAGTTGTCAGTACACAACCGCTACATGGTACACCACAACAAAAAGTACCGGAATACCATCCAAAAAAACAATCACATCAAAGCACAAGGTCTTCTCACAATGACTTAATATATAAAATTTAGTGTTATAAAGGATACAATATAAAAATCTACAAAAATGAACAGAATACAAACATCTGTTGTATGACAGTAATATATCAGTAAGCTATCAACTTGCATGAATATAAAATTTTAAAAATTTTATTCTACAGTTTCTACCTGCAATGAGGATACTACTAAGACAGAAACCTTTAGGGACAGACATAATAGGATAATATCATGCCCAACCCTGTATACAATTTTTATTTCCTCAACCAAGAAAACTTCCTTTCAGTTCTATAGGGCTAGTCAAAATGTATCAAGCATAGGTGCTCCAATGGAAATTAAGGATGATACTTCTAACATTTTTAAGTTAAAAAGCAAAAAGGGCAGCAGCATTACAGGAACGGGGGAAGCTATAGCTGTAACAGCTTTCTATACTTACAACTCTAAATAAACACAGTTAAAGCAGTGCCTATTTGCCACCCTCCCAGAGCGCAGTGCTTTGCTTGTCCTGACTGGAGAGAGGGGAGGTATGCTACTGGCATCTAGTGAGGAGAGGCCAGTTTTGGTGTTCAATAACCTACAAAACAGGAAAGCCTTCCATAACAAACAATTACTTCACCCAAAACGTCATTAGTGCTTCTGTTGAGAAAGGTGTCTCTAAACATAGAGCCATCAACATATAAAGCACAGATTCGCAAAAATAAAAATTAGTAGCAGTTAATAGCAAATTAAAAATTTTATCCATATAATTTTCAGCATCAGGTTGTGGAGAATATTAACATTTGATAAAATATTTTATGTTTTTTGGTTTTTTTTGAGACAGTCTCACTCTGTCACCCAGGCTGTAGTGCAACAGCACGAATCTCGCCTCACTGAAATCTCTGCCTGCCTCAGCCTCCCAAGTGGCTGGGATTACAGGTGTGCACCACCATACTCAGCTAATTTTTGTATTTTTAGTACAGACGGGGTTTTGCCACATCGGCCAGGCTGGTCTCAAACTCGACCTCTGATGATCTACCCGACTCCGCCCCTCAAAGTGCTGGGATTACAGGCATGAGCCACCATGCCCATCCTTTGTTAAAATATTTTAGTGCTTTACAAACACTTAATATATTGCAAAAAAAACAAAAACAATAACGAAAACCTCATTAAAACCTACTTTATCTCTTTACATGTAAAAATCTTCCCAATCCTTCCCCCTCTGCCATCCCCTAAAGTTTTTTTTATTGGTAGTCAAGAACAAGCTTTAAGCCACACTCTACACAAATACCAATATACCCAACACAAGGGAACACTCTGCCAACATGTTTCTGATAGACTAAGTTAAACACTTGAATGGCTTACTGACTTTATTACTAAGTTGACCAATCTTTAAAAAAAGCAACACAGCTAAGGTTCTTTCCCAAACACTACCTAACTCAAAAAAAGTGTGAAACATGACTACATTTCAACACAAGCACAGACACAATGACTCATCATTTGCCTATCTAGGAATTTAAGTGAAGGCAGTAATCAGACAAGTGGGCAGATATGAATCATAATCTTGTTTATAGTAGGGAAAGGCTGAAAACTTCCCAAGTATCCATTGATAGGGGATTATTTATTGATGAAAGTTTACCTATGCAATCAATATAACAAATGCAGAATTATAAACAGACATAGAAACATTCCTGATACATTACTGAATAACAGGTAAAAAAAACAGTAATATAGAATCCCATTTTTGAAATACATACATATGTAATTTGTATACACATTTATAAGCATACAGAAAAAAGTATACATTCCAAAATGTTTCAGGGTCATGGAATTTAAACGTTTCACCTAATTATTTACAAATATGGCATACTTTTGAAATCATGAAGAAAAACAAGTTACTATTTTTATACTTATCTAATACTTTTTTTTTTTGTAGACTCAGAGTCTTGCTCTGTCACCCAAGCTGGAGTACAGTGGTGAAATCTCAGCTCACAGCAACCTCCGCCTCCTGGGTTCAATCGATTCTCCTGACTCAGCCTCCTGAGTGGCTGGGATTACAGGGCGCACCACCACACCCAGCTAATTTTTGTATTTTAGTAGAGACGGGGTTTCACCATGTTGGCCAGGATGGGCTCGATCTCTTGACTTCGTGATGCGCCTGCCTCGGCCTCCCAAAGTGCTGGGATTACAGGCGTGAGCCACCGCGCCCAGCCATCTGTCACTCATTTTCTATGCATCCCCTACCCTGCAATATGTTCAAAAAACCCACAAGCTGGGTGTAACTTGTTTATGTCTAGAGGAAAACCTCTCTCTCATTTTTAATTGACAAAAGTCAGTTAATTAAGATACAAAAAGAAATGGGACGAGAATCTAATTCTTCCACCTCAAAATTCAATGTTCAAAATTCAATGTTCTTCAATATGCCAACTTCAGTACTTTATATCATTTAAAAAATTATATACGATTTCACTGATTTAAAAATTTATTATTTCACACTTAATCCTGCAGATCTGTTACTGTTTCATCTTAAACATTGTCTCCCATCAAAAACTCAATAATCCCTCTGAGACCAAACACACCCCCAACTTTTTGGTTTGAGTTACAGGAACAGAACTGAAACACTGAAGTTTAAGAATTCCCAGAAAACATCACCTTGAAATTCCTCCCAAAATTGCAAAACGAATCCTAGAAGTCTACGTGACAGTTAAATATTTTTAATTTTTTTTTTTTTTTTTGAGACATAGTCTGACTCTGTTGCCAGGCTAGAGTGCAGTGGCAAGATCACAGCTCTCTGAAGACCCAAACTCCAAGGCTCAAGTCATCTTCTTCCCTCAGCCTCCCAAGTGGCTGGGACTACAGCTGAGTGGTTAATTTTTAATTCTGTGGACACTGGGTCTTGCTATGTTGCATAGGCCAGTCTCAAACTCTTGGCCTCAAGCCATCCTCCTGCCTCGGCCTCCCAAAGGGCTGGGATTGCACCAAGCATGAGCCACAGCACCGGGAGTAAATTTGATTCAAGGTAAGGGAAGCCAGTGGAAATAGAGTACCTTTAATAAAGCTTCAAATTTGGAGAATGAATTACAAAACAAATGTATGGGATACAAAATTGTCCCACTAGCACAAAATCTGGCCTCAGAAGAACAATGAAGTATGCCCACAGTTTGATTTATAGATGAAGACCACCTTAGAACAAAAAGGCTTAAGTTTTCTATTAGACATTTTTAAATTGTGTGCAAATTCAAACTAGAGATGTTACACAGATCTATGATCATGGTGAAATTTGTTTCTAAATACAAGGATAAACAAGTTACTCACTGGTAACATAAACAAACAAACAAAAAACAGTAGCTACTCTGATGTCACTTGTGTGTGGCTACGATTCAATTATTAGACTAAAACCTGATGAGATCTGTGTCCAGTTTAATAGGATACAACTTAAGGGCAGGCAGGTAGGGTGGAAGAGGAAGCTCCTGTTTGGGGGGGATCAGGGGAAATCAATCTAAAACAAAATTCTACTGTTTGCAATTCAGCTCCATTATAGCCATAATACGCAGCAGGAAACACATACGTATGCTACTCTACCATGTATCTTTTCCCTTTTCGGGGACCACAATGGTGGCGGGTAGGGGATAATAAATCCAACGTAAAAGAATCTCTACATGTTTCTATTTATTTTAATTTACATATGTAGATGGCGATAGACACAGATTTGAAAAATAAATAATACGAATAAATCAAACATACATTTCAAAGAAAAAAAATTAATACTTACTTCCACTGGCAAACCCACTAGTGGCTGTTGCTTGCATCACCTCTCTTCTGTAATCTCTATCTTTTGGGAAGCTGTTGACTGCCATCTTGTTTGCTTCTTTTTGTCTCTGTTCTCTAAAAATAAAAAAAATAAGATAAACACATAAAAATTACATAGAGGGCATGAGTTTCCATAATAAACAGCTCTGGCCAAATGCCTAACAAATGGTTATATAAAAAACAAAAGCAGTGAACATGGTCATAATTTAACTGGTGTGGGAGATGGAACGTGGCAAACAGAAACACTAATGTTTCTCACTAATGTCAAAACTATACCAATTAATTATACCACTAGCGCCATAACCAAAGCTCATCAATTTTAATTCTACATGTGAAAGAAACATTATGGTCTTATTAAGCTATTAATATTTCCATCAAAATTAAAGATGCATAAATGTAGGTAAGTATTTTATTAATTATACTGACTATTCAAAAGGCCTTTGTGGACAGCTGCCTAGCTGTCCTAAAATTTTTCTTTTTTTTTGGAGATAGTATCTTGCTCTATTGCTCAGGTTGGAGTGCAGTGGCACCATCATGGCTCACTGCAGCTGTGGCCTCCTAGGCTGAAGCCATTCTCCCACCTCAGCCTCCTCAGTAGCTGGAACTACAAGTGCATGCTACCACTCACAGCTAACTTTTTGTAGAGACAGGGTCTCACTATGTTGCCAGGGCTGGCCTCAAACTCCTGGGCTCAATCAATCCTCCAGTCTTGGCCTCCCAAAGTGCTGGGATTACTGGCACGAGCCACTGCACCTGGTCAGGTTTTTGTTTTTAAAAGTAAAGACAAATTATGGAAAAAATGATGGGGCAACCAACCACTGCAACTAAAAAGTGTAGATGGGTAGCACCATAAAAAAGCTAAATTAGAATGTTTAATGCTGTAAGATGATAACCTGTAGAACCAAGCTAGAGAAATAACGTTTAATTAGATTAAAAGCTAATTACCTTTCAAGCCACTCTTTTGGTTTTTCCCATTGTGAAACTTCTGTTCGACAATTGTAGTAGTACTTTTTCCCAGAAGAGCTAATATGCTCAGACCAGTCATCTGCAGAATCATAAGGCTTAAAAATATATTTTTTACAATTAGAAAATGTTAATACTATGTAATCACATGAAATATCAAGAACATCAAAGCACACATACAGGAAAAACACTTATGAGATAAAGGTACTCTGAACTAGAATGCAATTATCTGCATAAGTATTTATAAGACGTTAGTTTATGAAAGGCTTCAAAGAATAGAACTTCATAAAATACCAAAATTAAGTAGCATAAAAATTAGATTGTTAGACAAAGAAAACTGTGAAATTAACATCACCTTGATTTTTGAAAGCATGACAAAATCCCCCACAATTTAACTGTTGAAATCCAGTAACATGGGGGTGAGGAATGCACTCTAGACTAGATGATGGCGTGAGATCGTCAGTTCTAAATTCTAAGGCACAATAGTAATTACATATGGTATAAAAGAGAACAATCTTGCCTGTATTAACTGTTACTCAGTGACAAAAGGAACCAAAATATGTAAACATAAACAGAAAGCTAATTAAAAGCTATAAATTTGTTTCATCTTCAAAATCGACAAGATGGATCAAGTACACGTAACTAAAATCTTGTTCTCATGTAATATACAGGATTAGCAGTATCATTCATATTCCCATAACTAAAAATGGTCTTTCAAACATTCTCAGATACAGTCTCTTCCAGGTATTTTTACAGGCAATGTAACATCATAATGAAATTAGAAAGATCAGAAAGGCCCAGTTTCCATGAAAAGAATCTCACAAAGATTAGTTTAAGTTTCTGATTGGCCCCAGGAAATCTGGTAGAATCTCAAGTACCTTGGTTGAATTCCTTAATTAGTTTTTCAAAGGAGCTTACTGAAACAACATTGATTATATTTTGTCAAACAGCTAGAAAAGAGGATTTTGAGTGTTCCCAACACAAATGTTGGAGATGACAGACACACAAATTACTGATTTGAACATTATTAAATATACTGAATGTATCGAAACATCACCATATATCCCATAAATATGTACAATTGTCAATTTAGAAAAATAAAAAAAAATTTAAAAATATTAAACCACTTGAAAAAAGTAAAATGAAATAATGTACTATACTATCATAGCCTATCCTTCCAGGTTCACCGTATTGTGATACAATTTTCAAGCCTGAGGAAACAAAGTCTTATTCACTGCCTTACCCTTGGCCCAGCTTTAATTTTAACAACTAGGAAACAAGCTGAGACAACATATAGACTTAAGAGCTGTCTATAGCTCACAAAAATAGTGATTTATCAAAGGACAAAAGACTCTGGTTTCCAAAGGCCTATTATTTCCACTAAATTAACACCAAATTCTGGAAATTCCCCTAATAATTCTCAAGGCAGTTGGAAAAAGATCACAGACTCTGTCATATATTTATATGCTCACATTTACATCTCAAAATAATGAGGGTGGCAAAGCAGCCCTGTATCCCCACACCTCAAAAAGCAGTGGAGAGTTAATTCTCAATCCCACTAGCTTCCAGAAGCCTACAATCAAGCTTTAGGAACCCAATCACAAAGGGCCAAATTCAGAAAGTTCTTCTCTACCACCCCCTCCTCCCTATACATAAATTATTATGCAACTGATCCCTTCTACGGATGTTATCTGGAAGATTTGGTTTGCTTGCCAAGTGGTTATGTGGAATTACTGGATTGAAGAGGTACAATGAGATTTGAGACTAGTGGACAGAGGACACCAGAGGTCAGCATGGTCTAGGCCAGTGCTCTTCCAAGTGATGGTTTGCCAACTTATCCTGGAGGAAATAAGGAGTTTGCATTTGAATATATAAACATACTGTTTCTTTCACAGAAGTTGTGCTTTAAGAAAAAAAAAAAAAAAGTCAGCTGAACTAAACATTGTATTTAAGTGATTAACATTCTGGCACAATCTCCAGGACAGAAAGTTCACAATCAGAGCACTGGTCTACCACGCTACATTGATTTTGCCTATCAAATTGTAGATTAGTTCAAGCTGATGTCTTACACTTAACAAAATTCCAGGGTAAAGCATACAATCACATATCAACAACTTTATTTTCTCCACCCCACTGCCATCCTCAAGGGGTTAAGGAAAAAGAAACCCTTCAAATTATGGGATAACTTTTACAATGCTGATGTGCAACAGCAGGTGTCAAATTTCTTAACTTTACAAAAAGAATATCTAACATTGAGAACTTAAACAAAAGGCCTGCAAACATTTAAAGTTTTCTAGATTTGGCCTGGGATGGTTGCCAACATACGCTCTAAAGCAGCTCTCCAAGTGTTATCCAGGAAACCTTGGGGAACCCCAAGACCCTTTCACAAGACCAAAACTATTTTCATAATAATACTAACATGATTTTTTTCTTCCTCGTTTTATCACAAGCATACAGTGAAGTTTATCCAGAGGCTCAACAAAACACTGGATGTATCACAACAGATTGAATGAAGCAGCAGATAGGAAGTTATGAAATTCTAAGTGTCTTTTTCTATTAAGTCAAATATTACCAAGATGTTCAGTATCTGTTTTTTTAAAAATTAGTTACTTTTCATAAAGATGTTACATATGTTACCATATAATGGGTTTACAATTGATATTTTAAATGAAATATTAAAATTTCACAGTTTTAATTTTTAATATGGTAGATATTGATGAGACTCAAACTTTTTCTTTCTGTTTTTCCCCAAGATGAGGTCTTGCTATACTCTGCCCAGGCTGGTTTTTAACTCCTGGGCTCAAGCGATCTTCCCTCCTCAGTCTCCCGAGTAGCCAGGACTACAAGTGACAAGCACCTCTCCTGGCTCAAGACTCAAAAGCTTCAAAGTATGCAGATGATACTTAGTTGATAACAAAAGGAGCTGGAATAGGAATGCAAACTCATACAGGATTGAACTTAAGCACATCTCGGCAAATTAAAATTGGCATAGAGTATTTAGAAGGGAAAATCTCAATTACAGTGTTTTTAAATAAAAATAAGCAATATTTTTTCAGCAATTCAGAGCCCCCTTTGAAAAAATCAAATATGCACGACTAATTTGGTCTACAAGTCATACCATGATTTTTTACCTTTTTTTTTTTTTTTTTTTTTTGAGACAGGGTCTTGCTGTCGGCCAGGCTGGAAGTGCAGTGGTGCAATCATCGCTCACTGCAGCAGCCTCAACCTTCTGAGCTCAAGCAATGCTTTGCTTCAGCCTTCCAAGTAGTTGGGACCACAGGAACACACCACCACACTTAGCTAATTTTTTTTTTTTTTTTTAAAGAGACAGGAGCTTCCCATGTTGCCCAGGCTGGTTTTAAACTCCAAGCCTCCAGTGACACTCCTGCCTTGGCATTCCAAAGTGCTGGGATTACAGTTGTGAGCCACTGCAACAACATTCCCATAATTTTTATTGTGAAGGAGGTATTCACCAATCTTTTCCTGATCTTTACCAGAAGTCAGGCTCTGTGGTAAACACTCCACAATAAATGTTTGTCATAGGACTTAGCAGGAAGTACATTAAATGTCAACGCCTTAATCTGATACTGAAAATAAAAGATAATTTCAACTGGGCTTTTAATAGTTAACTTGATTTAAAAAAAAAAAAAATCACCCACATACCCAAGTATCTGTGTAGATAACTCTAAAGCCAACTTTTCAAGTAAGATTAAATTTACAGTTTGTAAGGGCTGTTTGTGTCATTTCCACTAGGTACATTATAATACAAAAGACCACTACTTATAAGTTAATTATGTACCTACAGGTGAAATCAACAGAAACCAAAACCCGGATTCCAGAAACACAAAACATATCTGTTCTAGTAATGGTCTTCAACTTTCACTCACATAATTAAGTTCCCTGACACCCTTATGATTTGAATCATTCAAGCTTCTCTGATGCCCACTATTTATTCTTTCTGATTTCACTGGGTTAAACCCACTGCTCTAAAATTCAAATAATCAAAATCTGTCTTCCCTGAATGAGGTGTTTGTTTTGTTTGCATTTGTGTTTTACAAAAAAAAACAATGCCCACAAGGGCTGCTGCAGTAAGAGTAGACAAATAGCAAACCTAAACTGTCAATGACAAGTGGAACTTCAGGTGTTACTTTGTAAATTAATAGAATGTTTTCCAGGAAAACAGGCAGATTCATTCTAAAATCCTGAATATACATCTCACTGAAAATGATTTGCTCCCCTTTCTCCCCACTCGGCCTAATCCTCCCTTCCCTACTTGAAGAAAAAAAAAAAAGGAAAAAGGAAATGCCTCATCACAAATAGTTTGACGATAGTATACATGAAGTACTTAGCAAGACTGTTTTCTCAGTCTCAATCCCACCCCCTAGGATAGTCCGCTCTGTGATGCTAGGGCTGGGACAGTGCAAATTACTCTCTATTTAGCCAGGTGGCTTCCTTCCTGTTAGAAGCATTAATTAGATGAATGAAAGGTAGGAGAAAGGATCAGCCACAGTTGTTACCAGCACTGGACTACCATCCCACCACTAGAACTAGCTTCACCATACCCTCAGAGGTATTACCACGAGCTCTGTGGGGCTCCTCCTCTAGACTATTAGGTCCTAAAACCCCAAATTCATCCTGTTGTTCCATAGCCCTGAGTGGTGATTACTGTATGTGTTACCTCAAGGTTCCTCCTTTTTTTTCAGTATCTGCTTAACCAATCCCATATATTTAATTCTGTGTTACAACAACATGATTTTCCTTTCTTTTTTGAGACAGAGTTTTGTTCTGTCGCCCAGGCTGGAATGCAATGGCGGGATCTTGGCTCACTGCAACCTCCACCTCCCAGGTTCAAGTAATTCTCCTGCCTCAGCCTCCCAAGTAGCTGGGATTCCAGGTGCTTGCCACCACACCAGGATAAATGTTGTAATTATAGTAGAGATGGGGTTTCACCAGGTTGGCCAGGCTAGTCTTGAACTGCTGACCTCAAGTGATCCACCCGCCTTGGCCTCCCAAGTGCTGGGATTACAGGAGTGAGCCACCGTGCCTGGCCACTAGTGAAGTGCCTGGCCAACAGTATAATTTTCTAAATGAACACTAATACTATCTATTTTTATCCAAATATTATCCTAATGTCTCAATTTTCTATGGAAATGTACTATTCACACTGCTTCAAAAAGAAACAAAAAATCTGAAGGTTTTTCAACGTCAATTAAGACACGATGATCACTCAAATACTCAAAGCAAAATCTGTTGGACTCAACCTACACCTCTGACGGCCTTCTCATTGTTTGTTCTTTCCCTATCATGTATTTTCCACAGTTACCGGAGATAATTTTTTAAATTGCAAATATGATCTTATTTTACTGATAATATCCTTCAATACCTCTCCACTGCCTTATACATGTCTAATTAATATTCCTTGGCATGACATAGAACTTCTCATGATATGCCTCCCACTTACCTCTGTAAATTTAGCTCCTGCCATTTTCCCACACCGTCAAAATCCCAGCAGTTCTCTAAATGTGCTACACTATTTTACACTTCTACATCGTTAGGAGCTCTATTCCTTTGTATGCTATGAATTCCAGAGCTCGTTTACTGCCTAAGTTTTAGTCAGACTGTTGGGAAGCATTAGTTATAGTTTACTATCTTCCTTACCCAAGCTGGGAGTCCTGTGTTGAGTGCCACCCCAAAGCAACTTTAACAGGCACTGTTGTTTACTTTTCTGTCTCTATCGCAGGTCCCAAATTTCCTTTAAGACGGGCCACATTCTATAATATATTCAGCTTAGCATATGCCTGGTGAATTAAAACCTTATTCTACGGTGAATTAAAAATTTCATTGAAACCTATGACTTAAAAAATTCAAAATAAGTTAATGTTATTAACCTAAACTTCTGAAAATATTTAAAATCCCTCATTGGGTTTCACGCCCTTGTGGACAGGTAACTGTATATCCCTAGTGTCTGGGAGAGTGTGTAAGACACAGTAGATAATAAATGTATCCTATAAGGAGTTTACACACTATGGAAAGAAAGCTTAAGTTAGACCACTTTATAAGAAGTTTCAGCCTGAAGTTATTTTTATCTCAGATATCACAATGGAAAAACATTGCTTTGTACAGGAATCCTAATTAAGTAATACCAAAGATACTAGCTTCTCACAACGCTCAGTTCCATTAAAAAGACTGGCTCATTGGTTTAAAATAGGATAATGATATCAAGTAAACACATTAAGACTGTGATTCAAACTTTTTTTTTAAGACATTAGATTTTACAAGACTTCCCATGGGTTTTATTTTGTTTTCTGTTTCTGTTTTTTTTTTTTGCAATAAATTCCAAAGAAAAAATATTGGACATGTTTATAATACTTACTGCATCTGAAGTTTTGCTTGGGTTATTGCTTGGATTAGAAGAATGTGAATTTGAACTATGAAGAGCACTGTGGTTGTGTGAATTTTCTTGTGGAGAGTAACTGGTCCCTTAAGAAAATAAAGAATACAGTGAATTACAAGTAAACTGTATTTAATGTTTAATCTAAATTTAATGTTTAATCTAATCTTTAATGTTTTCTATCATACATTATTGTATATCTCTAAATGAATATCTTACATAAGCATTAGGAATATATACATAGTCATACTTTTTATAGTATATAAAGTATCTGTGAACCTACTAAAGAAGTGGCTTTATATGCCCTGGAACAACAGCATATAACAAAACCTTTTTGAGAGAAACAAAACCTTATCTTTATCATTTGTAGCAACTTCTGGGTTTTCTTAAAGTTTTATTGGAGAAAAATAGAAGTACAACGTGCACAGAAAAAAGGCACAAGAACTCAAATGATACAGAACTAAAAGTCACTGTTATCAGTATGTTTTTGCAACTGTATTTCAATTTCTTAATAGTTTCCCCTATTTGCCTTTTAATAGCTTTGCCAATTTTTCAAATAAAACAGCATCAACTTTTTTCAAGAAGTTAAAGAGTCTTAGGGAAGATGCTCACTTATAAGATGATAAAGATGATCAAGAGTCTTTTCCTAACAGGTCCAACTCTATCTAAAAATTGCTTAAGAGTAACTCAGGTTTTATGAAAATCTGTATATGCCAGTGACCAGAGAAAAAAGTTTCTCTTGCTTTAAGAAAAACCAGGGTGTAAAAATCCAGACTTGCAAAAACACTTTGACGAATGACACAAAAAGGTTCACCACAGAAGTCTAATGTTAGTATTTCAATTTCATTCCACATAATTCTAGATTTTTCAGCAACAAAGTAACATAATCGAACTGGTATTTTTTTTTAATAAGTGATCTGGGAGTGGCATGGAGGCTACACTATTATGAACAAAAACGAAAAGTGCAGAGAGCAATTTAAATGCTCCAGTGGTCCAGGAATTATTAGTGAGAACCAGGGTGGATAAATGTAGAAATGAGTTAGGAATATTATTTCAATCAATAGAAACAACTAAATGGTAAGAGCAAAGGTGAACTCAGATAGATGATGACTATAAGGTTTTAGATATCCAAGTGAAAATGGTCCGCAGATTAATATAGAACTAGGAATTCAGAAGAAAAGGTTTAAGTAGATGTGGATTTGGAAGTGTTTTCTGTTACAGGTCAAAGGTAGGAGAGGGACTAACTGCTTTGTGTGTAAGCAGCAAGCACTAAAAGTTCATGGATGAAGTAAGAGTATGGAAGGAAAAAAGGCAATGGCCAAGATTTACCCTCAGATAAGGGTCTGCTTACAATGGAAACTACAAGCAGATTCAAAGACCCAAGAAAGCTAGTTATGTCACAAACTATCAAAGAGAATTACCTAACTACAATGGTTACTTAAGAACAACGTAGGTGGTATGACAGAGGACATTTCCTAAGAAGCCTGATGCTTGAGACGCCTGATGGGTTCTTCTACTTATTTTGATTTATCTTGCTGTACAGTATTATATTTATATAGAGAGAACACCCTAAAACCCCCTTGTAATAACACGAAGCAAGAAATAAATCCTCAATAAAAGCTCTAAGAATGAACACAATCAAGAAGAAATCAGTCAAAAATAAGGTGAACACTTTGGGAGGCCGAGGTGGGTGGATTACCTGAGGTCCAGGAATTTCGAGACCAGCCTGACCAAGATGGTAAAACCCCATCTCTACTAAAAATACACAAGTTAGCTGGATGTGGTGGTGCATGCCTGTAGTCCCAGCTACTCGGCAGGCTGAGGCAGGAGAATCACTCGAACCTGGGGAGTAGGTTGCAGTGAGCTGAGATCGTGCCACTGCACTCCAGCCTGGGCGACAGAGCAAGACTCTGTCTCAAAAAAAAAAAAAAAAAAAAAAAAAAAAGAAAAAGGGGGGGGGGGGAAAAAAAGACTGAGTATGCAGGAAAAGTTAGCAGAAGCCCAGAGACTGCTATCTTTAGAAAGGCTTTCTGGCACAGCTGGCGCTTGACAGACATGTGGGAAGCTAAATTTCCGGAGGGATCCCACAACCGTAACTGATAAAGAGGTGAAAGAGGTGCTCACTGAGGCCAAGCACAGTGGCTTGCACCTGTAGTCTCAGACTAGGCAGAGGCAGGGGAATCCCCTGAGTCCAGGAATTCAAGACCAGCCTGGGTGACATAACGAGAACCTGTCTTCAAAGGAAAAAAAAAAAAAAAGAATTGTTCATTGTACCTAAGCTGTTTGGGTATATAGTATGTTTTGCACTGAACAGCTGCTTTCCTACTGGAGTCTGAAATTTTGGTACATGCAAGGCGAAGAGTACATATATAACTCACCAAATCCAGTAAAAGCGGTGCACACTAAATCTCTAGTGAGCGTCCCTGGTAGACAACATTCCACAAGTGTGTCAATTTGTTGCTGGAGGAATTAAGTGCATCCTGTATCACTCTCTTAGGCAAGAATTCTTGGAAGCTTACACCTGGATTCCTTCAGATTTTGCCCCGTGTGCCTTTTCTCTTTGCACCTGTCCACTGTAGTAAGTCACAGTCATAATAATGACTATGTTGAGTCCTGAGAGTCTGAGAGACTCACCAAACCTCACAAATGGTTTTAGGATCCCAAAATGCTTAGTAACAAAGGAAAATTAACACTTCAAGTTTTAAAGAAAACATGAGATCTATGCTGAAATTTCTACTTTTCAGATATAACTCCGAAGATTTTTTTAAAATCAGATTTACAACTGAATATAAGAAAGAAGTAGAACTAGTAATATGGATTACTAGAATATATATGCACTACTCGAAGAGTTGAGATTTCCCTGAAATTTCCCTAAGTTTGTCGACAGTGATGGGAAAAAAGCTAATCTTACTGACTGAAATAAACCCCAGAGTAATCCATTAAAAAGCCTGGTTTAGATACCCCACTCTGACACTTATTTGCACACATTCTTGAACAGTATGTTCTATGCTTAAATCTACGAAATGGAAGTGCCACATTAAAGGTTTACTGAAAGACGTAACAGGTTTTCAACAAACATAAGGTATATTATAAATGAGGTCCACTGACCTCTCATGAGGTTAAGATCCAGGAATTCACTCCACTTTAGTGACTATTCCTAAAGTCAATGAAAACTCAAATATTGACAAACATTCCAATTAATTATACTTCTAAAGAAACAGTATGCTTTCCACCAGCCTGATGGAAGTTACCAACTAACTTTTAGATATAGTATATGTGTCTTCAGAAGGCACAGCATAATAATCAAGTCTTTATAAGCATCAAGGCACACCGGCCTAAGACTTCTCTAAAAGAGAAAATAGAATCAGTTGTTGATGGGGAAATTATTTTCAAAGACAGGAGTTTTTTGGATAGGGACCAGATTCCACATTCTATGGAGATTTACTAAGACTGCTTACCAAAAACAAAACTTGAAATGGGTGAGAAGTAAGATAAAGACATTTTTGTAAAAGACTAAGAATAAACTAACATTCTCAAACAGATTTCAAATTTACATAAGAGGTTTTATACAAAGCATGGCAGGCAATACATCTTTAGATTCCAACCAGAAGGATGCCCTTTGGACCTGAAGGTAGCGCAGATTTGCCCCTGAATAAAATGACAATAATAAGGTAAACAAAATTAACTGTCTCATAATAAAAGCTTCAGCTTATATTACCTTACATACTTTTTTTGGTATTTCATTTGAGACTTTTACTTAACTCATTCCAAACTGAAGTAATACACAAGCAGAAGAACAAAGTGATTGTGCGCATCCTCCCCAGGGCTGGGGTAATGGTGGTTATGATGTTCTAGAGCCATACCGAAAAGAAGTGCTACAACACAAAATTCCTTTTAAATCTTCTATCTTAAAATATCACATGAATTTTTATATGCGACCCCACAAGTTTTAGATTTCTCTTATTACAATACAGAATCTAAGGCTAAGAGAAAGAATACAGTAAGACTTCTGAACATATCCAGTAAGAGAAGAACCGATGCATAAAACTTGAACTCAGAATTTCAATCCCAAATCCAGTGAGTATTCAAGTACACAAAGGAAGATAATATATACATGCTGGTGAGAGACAGAGTGCATAAAGGGTACTTTTTACTGTATAAACAGCACTGCCTCCATTCCTTCATTGGGTCACACACTGACCCAAAGAAGCAACGGAGGTAGTGCTGTTTATACAGTCAAGTACCTTTATGCACTGTGTATATTACCAAGGAAAAGCTTGTTATTTAACAACAAAAAAAATCACCTACCCAAGAAACACTGTATCAGTGAATAACTGGGATAAATGCTGTACATTTAAACCAATCTCAAGAAATTAAAGCTAGGACTGATAAGTCTTAAAAGAGTCTAAGAAAACATGCTATTGGAAATGACTCCGTTTTGGGAGAAGGGCAGGACAGATAAAGGGGTTCTATGCTTAAGCTTGCAACTTGAAGAACTTAAATGGTGAGCAAAATTCTCCCTTCCAGTGCTTAACCATGGCAGATTATAAAATGGAGATGTAACAACATGACTGGATGCTAGTTTCAGACCAGAGTCCAAGGGTCGGTACAAGAGAATGACATTTTCCCTGACAAAATCTGCAGTATTTCTGACAGAATAATCCCTATCTGGCATCTTCTAAAATTTCAGAAGCTAAAATTTAAGTGTGAGAAGGACTATAACTTATAACTTATAGTTTCAAAGAGTGAGGGCCTAGGAGAATAATCAGAAAATGGTCCAAAAAAATTGATCAAAACATACCTGACTCAGCAAGAAATGGACATTAAGCAATTACAATGCCCTTCCATTTACAAAAGGGAACCAGGACATTAGGAGTAGGGAAAGCAGAGGGAGGATATACAACTCTATACGATTAAATGACAGTGGGAACGGCCATCAGCTTTCGAAAAGGTAGAACAACAGTTTTCAGTCTACTCAGGAGCAAAATATTGTGGCTTTTATGTCCTTATTCAGACCATGACAACCACCAGAATATATTACCAGATCCACAGACTTAGAAGTCTTAGTTAGTCTTTACTCTTTTTAAGA